AGAGCGGTTAATTATTAAATTTGGTTAACAAAAATTTGATTCTACTCGGAAAAAAATAATAACCAATAAAGGAAAAGAAACTCGGAAAGTATGCATAAAATTGTATCGGTTTGCACATACAGCACAAGCCATGAAAGGCCGTACCGAGTTTATACCGAACCGGGTTTGGGAAAGCATAACCGGAATCACTCAAAGCTTACCCAAACGACAGACCCTGCTGTCGTTTCGTAATTCAAGCCAGTATCAACTGGGAAAAATTAGGGCAGAATAATGCCGTTTCACGTCCGCTCGTCATAGATTTGTTGTCGGAAAATCCTTCTGTTCCTGAGAAAGTATTGAATTTCGCCGTGTTTCTGCTTCGATTTAGAAGAATCCTCGGCGTGTTTTCATCTTCCGTGGGATTTGCGATTGTTGTATTCTCTTTGTCGAGGTTTCCTTCAAGAATCGCCCTATTCGCGCTGCTTGTTTAGTTTTCTCGTTGAGTTTTGTCCAAATTTATGATTTCTTCGGTAGATTTGGTGGTTTTTTTCTCTTGGAGCTGATGTTCTCGACTGGATTCGTCGACTAATCGGCGTTTCCGGAATCGATCTGAAAAACAGTCGCCCAAAGAAGATATTGGGTTCTGATTGGCGCCGTGAGGTAAGGTCAAACATTTTGTGCCCGCGAATCAAATCGTTTGTGGGTGTTTTTTCAGTTTAATTTTAAGTTTCTGTTCATCTCGAAGACGAAGATCGTTGTATGCTAGTTTCGATGTTCTATTAGGGTTTCGGAGAGTGTAATTCCTCTGATTGGAACTTGTATTCTGGAAATTCGCAAGAAGTTCTGATATTTTACGACTATGGTTCCTTTTAGGAATTAGGAAAGGTTCGCATGTGTATTGAGTTACTCTTGATGAATCATGAGTGAATTTGTAGTTCAGAGAGCTTTATTTGCTCTATGGAATGAATTTTGATAGGGGATTTGTAATTTTGTATTCAAGAGCTGTGTTCCTGCTACTCCTCTGATTGCTTGGTTTTGGATCGTTTAATTTTGTCAGTTGAGGTTTCCATCATGACTATTTCATAGATAAGTTCTACTTTTAATTAACTTAGGTTTTCTGAATTTGGAAGGAAAATTGTAGTTAGCTTTGTGTTTCGTGATTTATGATTGTTTTTGTATCTTTGTGCTATCAAATGAGCAGTTACAGTTGTTTTCTTTGTTCTGCAGCTTCTGTTCTTGTCCTATCCGGTGGATCTCTTTTCAGAGTTTTTTATTTCTTAGGGCTCAAGTGAAGAATCATCTGGAAAATAGACATGGATTACCGACCTTCTGACAGTAGCGGTAAGTCATACCTTGGGTATAATTTTGCTTGTTGAGGCTTGCTATTACTTTGCGTTCAATTTATCTTTGTTTGCAATAGTGGACAAATTAACAGTGTTTCATTCAATCCATCTTTTTCTTAGATGATGTGTGAGATTTTGTTTCTCCGAGCAAATTGCAGGTACAGATGATGACCTACCGCCTTCACATCAAAGTAGATTTCAAAGAGGGGGGCGACCTGCAGGTAATGGCAGGCCTTCTGCTCTCAGTTCTGCTCCTTTATCGAGGGTGCATAATGACATGGAAACTCAGATTCATCTCATTGAACAAGAAGCCTATTGCTCGATACTGCGTGCCTTCAAAGCTCAGTCTGATGCAATCACCTGGGTACTTATTTGCTTAATATTCATCAATCCATGTTTATATTCTTTCATCATTCAGATGAAGTAACTTTCCTTTGTGTTCCTTTTTCTGGAATAATATGCAGGAGAAAGAAAGTTTGATCACTGAACTCAGAAAGGAACTCCGGGTATCAGATGAGGAACACAGGGAGCTGTTATCAAGGGTTAATGCTGATGACATGATAAGGCGAATAAGGTATGTTTATAAGTGATGGCTAATCTTGTCAAAGATGCTTCCACGAAATATTTAAATATCATTGTTATTATCTGCCTACTTCTACCCAACGAGGTTAATTAATCTGTCAGGGAATGGAGAAAGTCAAATGGCTTTCAGGCCAGCATTCCCCAACTTGTTCATGATCCTGCTCCTAGTCCAACTGTATCGGGATCACGTAAGAAGCAAAAGACATCGCAATCAATAGCCCCATTGTCCATGGGCCCACCATCTCCTGCTCTGCATCCTTCGATGCAGCCATCGTCATCTGCCCTTAGGAGGGGAGGCCCTCCACCAGGTTCTAAGACCAAGAAGCCGAAAACAGTGAGTTGTGATTCTTTATAATTCTTTTGTCAATCTCAGCTTGAGTTTTGGCTCTTATATTCTGATTGACCAATCAGTAAAATTTTCATTATGATTGCTTGACATGTAGTCGATGCAGTATCCAGCCCCAGCTGCTGCTGGAAGACCACATGCTGGTAACCTTGCAGTTGCCTTAACGAATGAACATGCTGAATCAGGATCATATGATCCATTGATTGGACGGAAGGTTTGGACAAGGTGGCCTGAGGACAATCATTTCTACGAGGCTGTTATAACTGATTACAACCCCGTTGAGGTATCTTTTATTGCACTGGATTGGTATTTTAACAGTTCAAGGCTAATTTTCTGATATTGTTTACTTTTGAATCTTGACAAGGGACGGCATGCTTTAGTGTACGATATTAACACAGCAAATGAAACTTGGGAATGGGTAAATCTTAAAGAGGTAAGGGTTTTGCTTTTTGGTTTCTATTCCTTTCTGCTGTTGCGGGAAAGGTGATGGTGTGGCAAGCTACTTCATTTCATTACGTCATGCATATTGAGTTATAATGTGTTTTTCTTTGCGGGCCAGATGACAAAGAAATTGTAAACACATTAGAATTTTGGGCTTATTGGTTTTAAAAGTATGATCCCTCGAGTTTTGCACACTAGGGGGACTCTGTTAGGTTGTAATGGCATATTGTCACGTATGGACTCTGGAATAAAGTAGAACAGGTCCATTTGGTGATTGGTTGACAGTTTAGAAATAAAATATCATAATGCAGAGACAAACGGTGGATTAGAGAGGCCTAATGGGCGTACGGTACCTTTACAAGATGGACCCAATTGGCTTCATTTTTTGTGTTAATCTCAGTGTTTTTTTTTGCTAGCAAATTTATTGCCAAATGTTATGCCTTTATGCAAGCTACAATATTAGTATCCGTGAATTTTTTTTTTGGCATATATTAGATATCTCCCGAAGATATCAGATGGGAGGGAGAAGATCCCGGAGTTTCACGTAAAGGTGGTCGTCCTGGTCAAGGTCGTGGAGTAAAAAAGGCCATGCCTCGTAGTGGTCCGTTAACTAATGCAGGTAGAGGTAGGGGAATGATGAAGGCGCAACCCAAAACGCAGAATGGAATCAGGAAGAAGGCTTTAGGCAACATCGAAATACTCCACACAGATACTTTAATAAAAGAGGTAAGAATTCACCTCAACAACGCTATCAGCATCAGGCGGAAATTATCCTTAGTTGTTACTCGTGATTACACACCTTGATTTTCTTCTGATCTTTATGAACCTTCAACAGGTAGAAAAAGTTTTCGGGTCAAGTAATCCTGATCCCGCTGAAGTAGAGAAAGCGACGAGAGTGCTGAGAGTAAGAATTTGTTTTCCTCGATCCTCTTTTATTCCCCAGATTCTCCGTCCCAGCAGAAGTTGATCAATCTTTCCTTGAATGTTTGTAGGATCATGAACAAGCCCTCGTCGAAGCCATTGCAAAGCTTGAAGAAATATCAGACGGAGAAAGCGGTAATAATTGATTACATGAAAACCGTCGTTGCTTAATCGATAGGACTGTTTTTAACTCAGCGCCCGCTTTATTTTATCATAGTTTTTTCATGATATTTAAGATGTATCTCTTTGTAAATATCGTCCAAGTAATAATGACGGATCGGCTTGTTTCTGTAAATTTTTTGGGAACTTAAAACTCAGAAACTACCTAATAACATAATGCTGAGATAATTAAATATATGACCTCTAGGATTCGATTGATTTTCACAATCAAAATGCATCTCTTAATCCAGATGGAGGCCGTGCTTATTCGCATGAGCAATCGCTGGACAATGATCGAGGCTGGAAGAAACGACAATACGACGAGATGGCCAAAGGGATAGAAGGGGACGATGGCAATTGAAAAGTCTCAGTGCAGGCGATCAGTAAGTTTAAGAACAGACGGGCAAATCTTGGATCGCATTGTAATATTTTTTTTAACAGTTAGGGTTTCGTTGCTTTTGTGCTATAGCTCGGGCAGCCGCTATTGGTGATATGTGGGTTTAAGTTAGGGGTTAATCGTCGTAAGGCCCTTCAGTGTTTTTATGTAAGTGTAGAAGATACTAGTCTTTATTTCCTTCCACCGGTTGTGCAACTAAATATAGTTGGATTCGATCCTACGTTCCATGTAAGTGCAGACCCCGAGATCGGTTTCATGGTTACATTACAACGTTGTAGAACATGCTGTGTGAAAGTCTGTTCCGGACAAATGAAAACCCCCCCTACGAGGATGAACTGAACCATCTGGGCGCCGCGGGTCGGGTCTTTCCGTCCGAGTAGGCCAAACTCGCATAGACCTGCTGCTGGATCTACTACTGATCTTGCTGTTGGTTGCAAGGTTCGATCATAGAAAAAACAGAGCTACCACCCATTTTACTATGGGTGGGCGTTTCGTTTCGGTTCGGTTCTTCGGGACCGAACCGAAACGAAAAAACGGTACTTTTTCCGATCCGAAACCGTTCTTAATTCTCGAACGATACCATTTGTAGAGAACATAATTTTTTCGAAACCGAAATGAATTTTAAAAATTTCGAAAAACCGAATATTTTTGAAAGAAATCTATCTTTTTTTTAATAAAACCTGGAACCGAACCAATCCGATATCGAAACCGAACCGAACCGAATACAATAGAAAAACCGATTGGTATCTATTTTTGTAAAACCGAAAGAACTGAACCGATCTATTTTCGTCCCAAACCCGAACCGTTTCCCGAAACGTCCACCCTACATTTTACATCCAAGGATGATTTAGAGAAATCGGCATTTGATGACGAGGAATCAATGAGCGTTTCGGCCGACTCAAGATTCTACCTTTTTCAATACCAAATAGTAGGGGGGGAAACATAATTTAAATAATAAAAAGATCATCTCCTTGCTCTCTTCTTGCCTCTCTTCCCTCCATCGCTGCTTGCTTCTCCATTACTTTCTTTCCCTCTTTTTCCGGCCGTCTCTTTGGCGATTTCTCTCACCGCCTTTCCCGTCTTTTTCTTTCCCTTCATATTCTCTTCCCTCACTCTTTTCCCCAAGGAGGAAGAAGAAGAAGTGTTCCTCATCATCACTCCCTTCTCTTTCTTCATCCCCTTCACTTCCTCTTCCACTTCACTTCCAGAAACGTCTCTTTCGTCGTCTTCTTCTTCTTCTTCGTTTTCCGTTGATAAATCTTTCTTCATCCGTCTTAGGAAGCTCTCCGCTCCTTTCTTCTTCTTTACTTCCTTCGCATTGACAGTATTGATCGCGTGAGCGTCATGGGAGCTAAGCTCGTTGTTACCAAACACACGCATCTTCGTCCTTTCGCTAATATTACTACCCTTTTTGTTGTTGTTACTTGATGATCTCTCTTTTTTAACGTCTTTGTTATCTGCTTTCTTCTGTTCATTCTCTTTCCC